ATTTTAACATTTAAGCACATAAGCACTTAGCAAATAGGCATGCCTTCAAATTTGTGAACACGTACACAAGTAACAAGTAAACATGCTTCTCAAAACATTAAACAGCTTAACAGTTTACTTCCAAATCAACTGAAGTCCCACTTAGGTCAACCCTACCCGTTGTCCTTAGGTTTTCGAACCTAAAGCTCTGATACCATTTTGTAATGACTCAAATCAGGGGTCCGGATCGCTAACCAGAACCCGAGAACATACTAGGGGTAAAATGGTCTTTTTACAATATAAAAGGATAACCCATCCTTAAAGTAGTCAAATGAGGTCTAAAACAACTATTTTAGTCATTCCATGATGCTCAGTGAGGTTCCACGGTCGCCGGATAAAAATTCCCAAAAGTACCCTTACACGATTTAAGAAAATTTTCGACACAATCCCACTAAAATGATAATAACTCTTAACATGGATGGAATTTGAGGATGAGGTTGGTCTCATTGGAAATCCAACAAAAAATTCTTGAAAATGGACTCAAGAATGACCTTATTTGGGTCAGGAACGAAGAAGTTATGACCGTCCAAAGTCTGGTGATCAAAGCTGTCAAACTATAGAAGACAAAATAGTGCACTGGGGGACTTGAACCTATTCAATGGTCTTGAATCGGTTCAAGATGGATAGTATGCCTATTCTCGAATCAAAGATCCCTTTTTGAACCGGTTCAATTGGGCTGAACCGGTTCAAGATGCCTTGAACCTCCAAAATGCCCCAAACTGCCTAAAATTATGATTTTATTCACCTTGGCACAACTTTGGTCCTTTGGTAACCTTATTCAAAGCCTAAACCTGTCCCAAATCATCCATTTAATGGTGGAACTAACATAATTAAATGGTAATGAAATCAAATATGGCCATACATGGGTCCAATATATCATTAAATTCAAACAAAAACGTCATACATTAAAATTATGGCCTTAAGGCCTTACATGGATATTGAAATCATAATGAGGCCTCTAATTGCAAATGAATGGTCTCAAGAACATCTCCGACCATGTAGGTGATACCAAATGTTCCTCAATATTATATACAACAAATATGAGTAAAATGCATATCGAGTACAAAAGCCCAAGTCCATCAACCCGACTAAACAAGTGGTGGATTGTCATCTGCCGTTTTTTTGCCCAAACCTGAAAAATGTTAATAATAAAGGGGTGATCATAAAGCTCAATAAGAAGTGTCTAAGACACACCTCTTATAACCTCGTGAATCCACGTGTAGAATAGAAAACAAGAGAACGCTATACCGGGGATGCAAACCATAACCATAATATCCAGTATAAACACAAACGTCATCCAAGTCACAAATACGCCATGTATGCCGATGAAATGCAATGCCATGCTCATGTCGCTCCCCATTTCTGAAACATTTCCGTTTGAACTTCCAAACCGTTAGTGTAATCCGACCCAAAGCACTTCCAAGGCGTTACGAATGGAGGGTTGACTAACTATCCACGACCATAAGGCACCTCCAAGGTGTCGCATCCAGCCTAGTTAGCTCAACCATACTCCCTTCTAGATTACACTAACAACACGGACCACTAGGTGCCTCATAGGCGTTCAATTTTCGCAACACTTTTCAAAACAATTTTCCCAAAATCCTTTCACTTGCTTTTAAAACATTTTTCCCTTTTTCCTTTTCCAATGGATGCATGAATGCCTCATGCTTCTAATTGTTAATCCCACTATAGAACATCACACATGCTTGCAAGTTAAATTTCTAAAACAAGTACCTTATGCTTTCATTCAACATTAATTTAGCATATTAAGATTATAAAGAGAAATTTCCATTTCACAAGTGCATGCTATCACACAATTTGACAACTAACACATAATCTCATATTTTCTATGTGCAACATATAAGTAACTAGCAAGAATTCAAGCCAATTAAGCATGCAAATCAACAATTTGTAGAAATTTCACTCACAAAAGTATAAGAAAACATGTAGTAGAGACCCCTACGTCAAATCAAGTAAAAAACCTCAATTTGTGCCCTAGATCTCAAAAATTAAATAGTGCACCAAACTAGAAATTGCTCCGATCAACTTGTAGATCTAGTCGTGAGCTTCAGTTTGCCGCAAACGGCACTCAAAAATACTAAGTATTGAAAGAGAGATCAAGAATTGAAATTTGGAAGCCAAAAGAAAAGAAAAAAATCTAGAACAAGAAGGGGATGGAGAGAGATGCGGGAGAAGAGAGAAAATTGAGAGACCAAAAAGGTGGTCTTTAACCCTTTAAGGGGGGTGGTGGGTCCCACTTTATTTTTCTTTTATTTTTATTTTTATTTTTCTTATTAATTCTCACCCTAAACATATATATATATATGCTGCACCAACTATACAATAACCACATATAACACATTGAATAAAATAAATATGATATAAATGGACCGAACCAAAATCCTCGTGTATAACAATTCTGGTAGCGGGTCCCTCATGGAACCGTCCGGCCCGAAAAATTGAAAATGCCAGAATGACCACCCTTGCATTTTAAAGAGCCATGAACTCAATGAAACCCTCCAACCAACTCTCGGATAGAACAGACACACTCCACGGTGTCCAGCACGCAAAAACGAGGAAGGACGAAAATACCCTCGAAAAATAAAAAATTCTAAAAAAATGAAAAATGATGAAAATTGGAATCACTACACTATGTAGTTGGGTGTGTATTGTAGCATGTGTATATGTATATGTGTATATAATGAAAGACAAAAATAGATTATTTGCGAGACATGTGGACCCCACATGATCCCACCATTGACTAAGGGGCATAAACCCATTTTTCTTCCTCCCAGACCGCAGCTTCTCTCTTTCTCTTTGTATTTATTATTATTTTTTTCTTTTTCCTTTCTCAAGCTTTTAAGCTTAAATCCCTCCCTCTCTTCTTGGAAATTGATGTTGCCATAGAAAACAAAGTTGGAGAGTGTAACAAGAGCTTCAATTTGATCGAGGCAAAGTTTAATTTGGAGCACCTTTGGATTTCGGGATTTTGGAAAATTTTGGGGCTTTTCTTCAATTTGCTGAGGTAAGGGTGTTCTAATACACAATTTCTTTGATTCTGGTGAATTTTCCTCTTTAAATTGATTCTAAGCATGCTTTATTTGATTATTTTGCTTATGATATTGAGGGTTTTATGTGCCAATGTGATTTATGTGACTAATTGACTGAAAATGTAAGTTAATTGGAAAGATATGATGAAGTATGCTAAACTAAAATTATTGTTTGCCTTGTATAATTATAAATACTGAAATTTCATTATGTCAAGATATGATATAATTCCTTGTGAGTTTTTCTTGAAAGCATGTTATATTGTTATGGTCAAATGTAAATTATGGAAATGTATATATATCGTTATGGTTTTGTATGGCATGAAGCATTCATGCATTTCATTGGGAAAAAAAAGGAAAAGTTTTTTTTTTTAAAGCAAAGAAATTGGTTTTTGGGGAAATGTTTTGAAATGGTTTGCGAAAACCCGGGCACTTAGGAGTTGCTTAATGGTCCATGGCGTTAATGTGGTTTAGAGGGAACTAGGAAAAGACCCTAGCGTGGTTGAGCTACCTATAGGCCAGAAATGACGCCTTAGAGTTGCCATGTGATCAGGAATAGCTAGCCAATCATTCTCTCGTGTCGCCATGGAGTTGCCATGGGTTGGGTTGCATTAATGGTTTGGAATGGTGAAACAAAAATGTTTTGAAAATAGGAAACGACATTGGCATGTCATTGCATTATATTGGCATGTATTGTATACATATGATCGGATGACCTGTAGTATTGTTGTTGTTGTTGTGGTTATTGTATTTTTTCCTATGGCATGATCTCGTATATCTTTACTCTATATTTTGTGTGGATTTACGGGGTCATTAAGAGATGTGTCTTAGGCATTGTGATAACCCATATTTTTAGGATTTTAATTTATATTTATTTCATGATTTATAATTATCAGGATTGAGTATTTAATTTTTATTGGTAATTTACCCAATAAAAAGATTTGATTATTTGGTTGTTGCATATTATATATATATATAGCCTTGTGGCATCTGAAGGTACAGTGTGAGCCGAAGTGATGAGAAATGAAATAAATAAGGAAAAGTTGTTTTTGGCGGGTTCCATTTGTCATGGGTTTGTTTTTTGGTTTTTTGAAATGTGATTTATTTATAGGGAAAATTACATATAAATGGAGTTAAAGTTTCATATTTACTTAGAGACTGAGTCAAAGTTCCATATTTCTCTAAAATGGATTGCTGAGGTGGCACATGGTTTTTTACTGTTTAGAAAATTGTGGTGCCTAAAATGCCCTTCCCTAACAAAAAATTAGTACCTTCAGTTCAAAAAAGTAGTACCTTCGAAGAAAAAGTAGTACCTTCGCGGGTGTTTAAAAAACATGGTACCTGGACACCAAAAAGTAGTACCTTCAGTTCAAAAAAGTAGTACCTTCGAAGAAAAAGTAGTACCTTCGCGGAAGGGTATTTTAGGCACCACAATTTCTAAACAGTAAAAAACCATGTGCCACCTCAGCAATCCATTTTAGAGAAATATGGAACTTTGACTCAGCCTCTAAGTAAATATGGAACTTTGACTCCATTTATATGTAATTTTCCCTTATTTATATATATATATATATTTTGAATGATGAAGATGGAAGGCAGGTTGGCCGAAACTGGGGAAGAGAGAAATGGTTTTGGCATGGGACCCACTAGGGGATTGTGATGATGGTGATGTGTTAGTGGCGGGTCCCACTAAAGAGTTTTGTTTGACCAAAACTCTTATGGCCTTGAATTGTTCACGTGGGCTGATGTTGGTTATGGATTCTGATGAATGAAGATGTGATAAAGGAAATGTAAAGATAAGGATAAGTGGGTGGCGGGGTCCACTTTTGATTTTTGTTAGTTGAATGTATTATTTTGTTTGACATCTTTTTTGAGGGTGTGGTGAGCAGTATTGACGTGTGTATGGAGCCGGTGGATTGTCTCTATATATATTAGTGTATGTTTTGAGACATTAGTAAATACACAGAGGGAAGAAAATTAAGACATAGAAAAAGACAGAGAGAGCCGAGTTGAGGACAGAGAGAGAGAGTCGAGAGTTGCAGAGGAGGCCGGAGGATTGAGGCTTTGATGATCCAGTGAGGAAAATTCTTTTTCAGTGTAGGATTCTCTATACCTTGAATGGCTTAGAGTGATTTTGCTTCAATGATTTTTATTAAATGTTTTAATTAAATGCATATGTATTTTGTTTATATATTCACATGAATATGTATATTTTGTGAAGCTATTTTAGTAAATCTCTATGGAATTCTTGTTATGATTTTTCCTACTGGAACTTTTTGTCTCACCACCCTCCAATTTCAGGTACCGAAGATAAACGGGGATTGCTAGATTCGGGCTTAGGTGGAAGAGTTGGCGTTGCAGGATTTATTTATTTATTTGGAGAATTTTTGTCTATATTAAGGAAGTTGATTTTGTATAAATGAAGGCATTTTATTTGTTCCTGAGTGTATTTTGATGTATTTGGATTTGAATGAATTGAGGACTTTACTAGAAATTTTCGGGTCGTGACAGGCACCTCCTACTCAGTCGTTGTACTCACCTTTTTCTTTGTTATTTTCAGGTCACGGGAAGAAAGTGGCGGACGACGCTCTTCCACAAGTTTAGATGGGTTAGTGAACTGTTTTGACATCTTTTGTAACTGCGATCACATTTTTTTTTGTATAAGCCTTGGGGTGACACGTATATTATGTATTGACATTAAAATTGACTATAATACCCTTAGACAATTTCAGGTTCGAGTAAAAACCAGATTAACGATTCGAACCCTCATGTTCGGTTCTTACAAAGCCATTGCAATTTATTGGGTCCAATCATCACATGTTTACGTGGCTATTGCTTTTGCTATTCTTCACATGGGACCCACTATTGGCTAGCCTCATACCAAACAACTTACTAGCCTCTGTGACTTCCCAGCTACCAAACCAGCCACTACTCCGGTTGCTCTAATCCACTACTTGAATTTTCATTAAATAATATGATTTCAATATATACCAACCAAAGTCTATCCACAGTGGCGGAACATTTCTACTTTGAATTTTCTTTCAGTCTTCTACTGATTGACTTATGAATGTGACATGCTCACGTTATCCACAGCTTCTAGGAAAAATATCAGAAATCGTTTCTTTACCACTTGGAAAGCTTTAGTATGACACTCGGATGTGTCTTCAAACTTTGATATTCCTTCTCAGACACTTCGCAGTTAGAAGACCAATTCACTTGGAGAAATTCAACACCAATCACATTCCTGCATGGTAGCTTCCAGGAAAATGATTCAGCAGCTACTGTGCCACTTGCTTGTTAGACAGAACATGGCCCATGTATCCATCAATGAATATTGAACATTGGTTTTCTCGATGAATCATACCCGGAAAATGATTCATCAGCAACTATACATATAGTAGCATTCACAGGACCAACAACTACAACCCAAGCCCATCCCTTTCTTCCAAAGAAAATAAAGCTCATAACTAAAGAAGGGGGAAGAAAAAATAAAGAAGAGAGAAAAAGGAAAAGAAAATGTCCATCTGCGACTATTACCAATACGAGGAAGCCAATTACTCTTGTAGTTACAATGATCGAATCGTGATGCTTTTCTGTCAGCAGGACAAACAACACGAAGCACCAATGCCATGGATCGGTATCTATGTTGCAGCAGCATCTCTAGTCTGCTCCCTTGCAATGGCTGCTGACGTCTTCCACGGTTTTCGCCACAGAAAACTTTGGATTCCATGCAAATTTTTCACTCTCAATGCCGCTTCCCTCACATTATTAGGTGTAGCAATGAAGCTTCCGGTGGATCTCAGTACCCAAATGCCAGGAAATATGGATCAGCTGGTGAAACTTACCGGCACCGTCTTGATGTCTACAACGATGGGTAATTTTCTGCCTTCTTTAGGAACTATGAATGACAGAGAAATTTTCATGAACATAACAGCCTTGGCTATTCTTGTGATCACCATTTTTGTAGATATCTGCATCCAATTACGTACTCAACTAATAGATCCTTTTCTTGAGAGAGAATATATTGCAGCTGTGTCTTTCATGCTTGTTTTGCTTCTAATATTGAGTTTCTCCGCTTTGACGGTTTCCACCATTAGAAAGCGTCTACAACTGAATTATGATGACATATACAAAAAGATTTTGAGTGAAGAATCAGAGGGAATCCAAAAGTTTAAAATTGTTAACTTGAAAGAGGATGTTAAAAAATATTGGATAATGACAGAGACGGGTAGTCTTCAATTTGTTATAGCACGTTCAGTTACCTGCTATGTTTCGGGGACAATTTGTTTTCTGGCTGCTTTCACTTTAGCAGAAGCAAACGTCAGGATGTGGACCCGTGGTTACCAATTGTACATGCATTATATGTACGTGGTTGGATCATGTTATAGGTGGTCAATCTTTGTAGTTTTTGTGATTCAGTCTTTTGGGGTGGTAGTAGGTACAATTGCCGTAGCATTTAGATGGTTTGCCGTCATAAGATTAAGATGCTCAGTGAAAAGAGTCAAGAGCTACAGAACTGAGTTGAATATAGAGAACTACTGGATTGAAAAGCTAGTAGGGTGGAGAGAGAAGCCCTTAGCTTTACGGATCTGGGGCCAAAAATGCAGAAAACTTGTTCATTCAACCAAGAATCTAATTCTAAACTTCTTTATACGAGTTCAAATTACGATTGTCATGGCCAGCAAATTAATTTTGCTCATTCCTATTTTCTTAGTGAGCACGTTGATGTCATTTGGTCTCTACTACAAGGTGTTAAAGCAGAAGCTCAGATACTGTAAGCCTACTACCTCAAACAATCACAGAGAACCAGAGTCGGGGCCTGGTACAACACTGGATCTTAGCCGTTATGTTATATATCTTGAAGGTGAAGAGGAACTGCCCTTACAGATTATGAAGAACAATAGGGATGCTACTAATCATTTTATTCAGAAGGGTAAAAAGCAGCAACCAAAATATTTGAAAGAGCTTTTAGATCAATCTACTGCTTTTATGGGGGTGGAAAAGTTTGACAGTGACCGAGTCCCATTTCTAAATTCTGAAGAACCTCCCAATTGTTGGTCTCTTCCTGTGATTACACTAACAAGTATTGCCATTGCACTTCCAAACAATGAAAATCAGAAGGTGAACTGGTTGCGTCGAAGCGTGAGAGAAGGCCTCTTGTATGTCAACCTTGTAGAAAAAATTTTGGATGCCAAAGGAGACTTGGTGAGCATAAAAAATACTGCCGACATAGTGTGGTTTGGAGTTGATCTCTTCGGCAAGTGGCTAGATGAAGATCTCCGAAAAATCGCTCTTGAAAGAAAAACCTCAAAGGAGACGCTGGAGAGACTTCTTGACATATCTAAAAATATTGTCATGGAATTCAAGGCAAACATGAATGGGAAGGAGAACCCTTTGAAGTGGCCCATGAAGGTTATTGCTGCTAATTCAATGTACAGAATCAGCCAAACTTTGCTGCTTGACCAAGAAGGCAGCAAAGACCAGATGGATCATGAAAGGCTGTTTGATCAATTATCTGTTATGGTTGCCGATATATTGGGTGCTTGTCTTACCAACATGCCACGTGTTATAACTACAAAATGCTTTTGCAGTGCCATAGAAGAAAGGGAGAAAAATGTTCAGCATGCAGCTCATCTTCTTGGTGAAACTGAAGAGATTCTCGAAATCCTTCAACAGCGTGAACTTCCTAGTCTGAATCCTGATCAGGCGGCTGATATCAATGAGTGGCGTGCTTCAATGAAGAAGAAAGATCCCTCGGCTTTTACTTCTTCATCCAACAGTGGTTCATCCTCTTCTGGTTCTTGTCAGTTGCATATAGCTATTGAGTAGGAGGGATGCTTGAGAAAACACAAGCACTTTATGCCATCGCTAGTGTTTGGTATGTACTGATCATCTACGACTTTTCTATATTTAGATATTCTATGAACTGTTACAGCATTTGAATGTGATATTGAGCAGGTAGATTTTATTCTATTCATATACAGCACATTCATTGTTTGCTTAGATATATCATTTGAATTTGATGGATTCATAGGTAGCCTTTTTCTAATGTTTCTATATAAATTTATTCTATTCATATAGAGCACATCCATTCTTTGGATATTATTTGAATTTTCTAGATTCGTAGGTAGCCCTTTTCATGCAAGCCACACCCTAAAAATATTTACAGCCAATTTTAGCTCTGTTTTAGTTCTACAAAAGCTTTGAAAAAGTTAAATTCTTGTGGAAAGTGGATTTATCATTTGTGGGGCAGAATCTGGGTTGGATGGAATTAATAACTATACGATGCACAATCCATTCATGAATCTGAATGGTGTATTTGGGATTACGGTTTTCACACTTGCTTAATATGCAATTTTCATGTTTATGAAGTAAGAACTACTACTAAAATTGATTCTTTGTTCAAGTTTTACATGATGAAAATTTCAAGAATGTTAATCTGCAGGACTTGTTGGAAATCAAAGAGTGTAGTGTGAGCTGTGGTGCTGTTTGGAGTTGCTGGGGGTGTTTTTAATTGGGATCCTGTGTCCTTTTGCTGGTGGTGTAATTTTCTTTGTTTGGCTGTTCCTTTCTGTAATATGGTGAAAATCTAGTTCAATAGCCTTTGTAACGGTGATTGGACACCAAATAATAAACACAGAAAATGTAGGTGGATTTCGATTCATAAATCGTCTATTATATATATATATATATATATATATATATATATATATATATATATATATATATATTCTCTCTGTCTAAAGCTATTAGTAGCTGTCATCTTCAACATAATCAAAGAGCTCCTGATTTTAATCTTTTGAGTTTTCAGCTATATTGACTTCAGCAGAAGATTTTGGATTGTAAAAAAGATATAACCATTGTCTATTTAATACTGTTCTCTTGTAGCTCATGCTATGGTATAATCAAACAAAGCTGTCTTTTGATCATTATTTGTTAATTAAAAATAAGAAAAAATTTTATTTTTCTGATCAATTATTCTAAACAAGATATCTTTAAACTAATAATAAATTTAGAAAAGAATAAATAGTCATCAAATTTAAAACTTAATTACATAAAAGTGACCATTCCAATTTATTCTCTAAACTTATTACACAGTTTCACACTCATTTCAATCCCAAATTGTTGGAGAGATGGGCCAAAGCATTACGGAAATTTAACTGGTCTTCCTGTATCAAACAAGTGAATATTCTCTCAAAAAGAATTAAATTTCAATGAAAGCAAAAAGAATTTTTTTGGAGCTTTTTTATTGGTTAGACGGCCCTGATCTAGTCCAACGTGTTCTGAATCTCTAAAAAACTGAAATAAAAGATAAAACTGAACCTGTATCATTTTTTTTAAAACTAAATTGTGTTCGACAACATTTAATCTAGATAATGTGACATGATACATATTAAGTAAAACACATTTTTTTTTTTATTTTTAGAAACTTACATACCCACTTTGCTTATTTGAAGAATCGAACCCTTAGGGCCCGTTTGGCATCCTTTTTACTTTAGGCGTTTTGTTTTTGGCTAAAACAGAAACAATGTTTTTACTATTGGAGTGTTTTGGCAAAAATCGGAAGCACGTTTGGGAACGATGTTTTGTTGTGGAAATGTCGGAAACAGAAACATAAAAAACATGTTTGGTAAGCCATGCGTTTCAAGAATTTTGAAAACAAAATATGTTTGGTAACTCTAATTGTTGTTAAAAATAAATAAAACAGAAACAAAAAAACATGTTTGGTTATCATTGCTTTTAATTTATTTTTATAAATTTTAAATATATTTATAAATTTATTTCTATATAAATAGTCTATATATTTTTAATAAATATATTGAAATTTGAATACACAACCACACACACACACACATATATATAACCAAAGTGTAATTACAGAAGTGTTGCTTCAGCGAGACCAATGTTTCGACATCAACTTGAATCTTGATGACATGTAGAGTTCTATTTTTTTACTGTATTCTTATGATCTAAGATTACCTTTTTCATTTATAATCCATCTATTTAGAGTCAAACTTCACAAAACATCTATCAAGGAATCATAAAATAAAATAAAATAAATAAATAAAAAAAGAAGCACCCTGCTAGAATGGAAGCTTGCAAGGAAGCTTCTCAAATCATACTCATTCTTCTATATTAGGAAAAATGACAAAGAAATTCAGAACAAATTAAACAGTAGATTAAATTAAATAGGAGATATAATTCAAAATTCAAACACAATTCACTTCATTATTTACAAATTTCAACAATAGGATTCAAAAACGAAAAAAAAGATGCTTACAAATAAAAAGATGTTTCCTTATGTTTTCCTTACAGGAGACATACTTCAAAAAACACAAATTTCACTTCCATGGAACAAGCTTCAGTAGTAGGACACGTCATCTTCATAACAGCACACATCACCTTCAAGAAAGTATCAACACACTTCACATCTGTAATGGTAAAATTTAAGTTGAAAAATATTAACAATAATAGCAACAAATATATTACATATAAAAGAAAAAACATACCATCAGTTTCAGAAAGATCAAGAGTGCCCAAGAGAATTCCAGATTCGATCAGCAATAGTATTACGCAACTGATCCATTTCTCGAGGAGGATCGTCACCATCAAATAAATCATCAGGCTTATATTGATTTCTAATGAAGTTGTGTCAAAAACACATCGGCTGACGGGATTGAAGCCCAAGTCTCCATGGCAACAACTTATTTATTAAAAAAATCAAATAACAGCGTATCCCTCAAAATGTCTATTATCTACCTAGCATGAACTCATGGTTCCTCAACCTCAGCAATGAGCTTGCAAGAGAGAGCACCAAATTTTACAAGTTCCATGCAAAAATTCAGATTACTAAATAGTTCATCATTGGGATATGAACATGTAAAAGCAAAATTATAGAAGATTTGTTTAAATCATGAAAATTAGATGAGGGAGACATAAAATTTAACATTGGTATAATGGATGCACAATATGCCAAAGTCAAAACAAGTGACCTCAGTAAATAAATTTAGTAGAAATTATATAACAAAACAACCATTTTTAAATTAATATTATTGATATAAGTTTCTCCAAACAATGAATCATGCCAAGTGATTGAAGCCCAGGTCTCCATGGCATCAACTTATTTATTAAAAAAATTATCTTATAATTCTAGATAAAGCTAAAATTTCTAAAACCCATACGACAAGTGGAGTCTTATGGCACAATACATTGTAGGACAATAAAGCATCATAAGTATATTTGTGCTAAAAAAATGAAGCCAAAAAGAAAAAACAAAAAGAAAATATTAAAATCAAACAACAGCATATCCCTCAAAATGCCTATTATCTACCTAGCATGAACTCATGGTTCCTCAACCTCAGCAATGAGCTTGCAAGAGAGAGCACCAAATTTTACAAGTTCCATGCAAAAATTTAGATTTCTAAATAGTTCATCATTGGGATATGAACATGTAAAAGCAAAATTATAGAAGATTTGTTTAAATCATGAAAATCAGATAAGGGAGACATAAAATTTAACATTGGTATAATATATAAAAATTAGGAATCTAGAGTGAATCAAAATTTTGACTCTTACAGGTTGATTCAAAATATATAAAAATTCAAATAAGCAATGCGAAAGATTCCAACATTTCTTCTCTTTTCCTTAATCTTGGAAACAGAAAGGGAAAAGAAAAAAGAAAAAAAAGAAAGAAGAAACATAAGTAATATAATAATAGTTGACTCTATGAGATAATCATAATGATATAATAATAGAGAGGACAGGAATAGTAAATCAAAGTGAGCATTTTTTTTAATTTTATTTTTCATATTCTTTGTTCTTGATATTCTTCATTCTTTTAACAGGATCAATAATGTTCTATAGTTTCATACATATTCTGAGCTAATGTCGTTTGGGTTCTCTCTTGTTGCAAATCTTGTAAGAGTTTGATGAAAGGGTTTCAAGTTATGATAAATTTATTAAGTTAATTTATACTTTGATACATATTGGATAAATCTGACTATACTCTATGATTTTTTGTGTATTGCAATTATGTTTCTATCATTTCTTTAAATAGTTTTCTTCAATACTCAACTGAAAAATGAAACCTCTGCTAGAGTGTTGGGTGCCCATTTGCATTTTACATAGCACACAATTGGTAAGTACATTAGAAGTGAAGTGAGACTGGAAATAGTACTCCTCAATACTCAACTGAAAATTGAAACCTCACATTCATTGGTTGATCAACACAGTCTTCTATTTAACTACATAGTATTTCATAGTATTGCTGTCTAGATCAAAAGGGAAAGGAAGAGGGAAAAGGCTGCTACAACATATTGGAATGAAAGTTAAATAGCAGATCCTCAAAAGTTTTCTGATAAACATGGGGACATTAACAACTTGAAAATTTCTTTTAGATGGGGACATTAATGGGAGGGTTTTCCAAAGTAATGACTCCGGGCACTTGTTTTGCTTTTTTAGTATAAGCAGTTAATAATCTTATATATATATACACACACACACACATTATTTCTCTATAAAACTATCCATTGCTCTATTATGAAAGAAAACATTGAGTTTTCATTGGTTTTCATTACTTCGTCATGTTTGTAACAAGTCAAGCTTGATCTGATTATTTCAATCTTTTGTATATGGTAAGAAAATCCAGAAAATCAATATATAAGATGTAATTTTCAACATAAGAATGGATAAGAGAGACACAGTAGAGCAAAACCCAAGTTGAGTCAATAATTGTGTATATAATATCATCCCATTAGCATGTGAGTGCAATGAATATGGTCCAGTTCATCAAGCAACTACATTAATACTACAATGTATCCCCCCCCCCCCCCCCCCCCACACACACACAAATTTCAATCTTCTTGTTGTCTATTTATTTATGTCTTAAAAAATCTTGATCCATATATATTACTATTTCTACACATACGTGATCATATATATATATATTATGTATGTATATATTACATGCTCACACTTGATATCATACTTATATAGTAAGATGGAGTCTACACTTAAATATTAGGCAGAATAAAATATGTATGAATCGCAACAAACTCTCTGTTCCTAGCTATTAGCTTAGGCATGCAGTAATGGAGAGTCACCATTCCCGTCACCACTTGCCATTCATACTTGTTTGGTAATCAGTTTGATCACTCACATAACAATAACAATCAACCCAAAGACGTGGACAAATGAAGATGATGATTTTAAGTCATTATCATAAATAAATAAATAAATAAATAAATAAATAAACAAACAAACAAACAAACTTAAGATTGTATTTGTAAATTAAATACTAAAATGAAGCCTCATCAATGTCTCCTTGGTTTCTGACAATATTATTTATTTCTATAAATTTGCTGAGCTCGATCTCCCCATCTGATCCTCCTCCAATTCAAACGCGTAATATAAAATATTGTTTAATTTATACATTTCAAAATAATTTAAAGTTAGCATCCAATTTGAAAGCGTCTCTTAATTGTACAGAACAGCCAGGGGTAGCTCCTTGGATTAAACTTTAGAGCTTCATACATATATATATATAACTGTACGTACTTTAGAAAGCTAGCTCAGTAAGGGTCAATGTTATATCAAAATTCTCAAGAGACATTTATCATGACAAATTACCTTCATTCAGAAAGATAAAAAAAAAATTCTAAATTATGCCATGTAGTGGTCACCTCAATCATCAATTATTAACTCGTTAACTGTGGCTATGGTGGAAATTTCAAAGAAATTGTACTCTTTATTTTTCCAATTACATTTTATGAAGAAAAAAAAAAGGTCATGATGGAATGTTTCTTACTTGTACTTTTCTTTTTCTAATTCAACTTTTATATACACACCCAGAAACACAGAAAAAGAAAACTACAAGTATAGGTGCGTTTTGGTCCTTGGAAAGATGTATTTCTTAAAAATCTGATATAGGAGTAGAAGAGTTTAAACAAGTTAAAAATTTTAACTGTTCTAAATCACCAAATTTTCATAAAATAATTTCTGAAATGGAATACCTCAAGAACACAAATAAATCCAGAAAAGCATTAAGGGCGTCACAATCAAATCGACTGAAATATGGGGGGATTCACGCAGCAAGAAGAAAGAGGTTTTTCGGAAGTAAAGCAACATCAAAGGAAACTTTAAACAGGAGAGAAATAGAAGAGAGAGAATACTCACAGTATATCGCAGTCGCCTCCCAAATCGCCTCCTAAATCGCCTTCTCTAGGGTTTCAGAGGAGAGAGAAAAGATCGGGCGAAATGTTGCAAACGACGTTTTGAAGTTACTTCCTCCGCTACAGTGCAAGACCGAACTTACTTCAAGCGCTATAGTTCTTTTTATTGGGCTACAGTTTAGAAACAACAAAAAACACCAATTCGGTGTTTCACTTTTGGGCTCAAATTGTGCACTGTTAAAAACAATATTTTTGTACTGTTTAAAACAAAACAAATGCTACCAAACATGTTTTTGAGCCTGAAATGGAGCCTACAACAAAAACAGCAAAGTAAAACACTAAACAAACAGGCCCTTACCGTTCCCTTTGAAAGATAGATAAGATATCACTATATCTTAAGACTCTTGGTAAGTAAAGCACATTTAAACAATCCAAAATTTTACATGCACATAAGCATAAAAAAACTTATAAGTAAATAAAGAACACATGGCAAAGAATTAACTAAAAAAAAAAAAATTTGTAGAAAATTAGACATATTTACTTCATCCAACAATAAGAATAAAATAAAGAAAATTCATAACAGACACGCTAAAGATTATAGTAAGCTGGTGCGGAAAAATATAAATCAATAAGTAACAATTAGAAAAAGATGCATGGATATATGGAGATAAATGACAAATTTGACAAACAATGTACTAGCCAAATGTAAATTGATAAATAAAAAATCTACATGTTTTCATATAAATACAATGGGTTTGGGATAATACCCGGTCTAGATGGTGGAGTGTCCAGCTCTTCAAACGGATATCTTCACAATCTAGTTTGTTAGTGTGTGTATATATATATATATATATTTTGGGTTTTGATAATGTGTTTAGAAATTAATTGAAAATCTACTATTATTACATAATTCCGATTCAAATATTCAACTCTAGATTCAACTGAGGGCACTAAAACGAAAATTGTCAAATTTGGAGGGGCCCAAATTTCGTATATTCAACGCTTAAGACTAATTTGAAAAGCAATTCAATGAACATGGCTAGTAGTCAAAAACTTCAGGACAACATTGGATGGGGATGGGGATTCGGAGTTCCAGCCATAGCAATGGCTCTGTCAGTGATAGCATTCATAATTGGATACCCTTTGTATCGAAATATAGACCCTGCAGGGAGCCCATTTACAAGATTGATGCAAGTGTGTGGCCGTGTTCAAGAAGAGAAATCTCCAGATGGTTTCTGATCCGAAATCGCTCTACCAGAATGAGGAGCTTGATGCATCCATTTCTGTTGCAGAGAAGCTTCTTCAAACCAAGCATATGAAGTAAGTCCTCCTCATGTCTCTGTCTAATTTCCAGTTTTTGTGTTTGTGTAAGCTTAGCAATCATTTGACAGTAAATGGGAGAAGAGTGAAGACACAAACTTTAGATATGGATAATTAATATTGGTTTTCATTAATGATTTGTTCGGTGGGAGAGAAAAAAATTAGATGGAATGGAGTGAAATTAGATATGGATAATTAATATTGGTTTTCATTAATGATTTGTTTGGTGGGAGAGAAAAAAATTAGATAGAATGGAGTGAAAAATGGATGGATGAGACATTCATAGAGAATAGATTATATATTTCCTTTTTTTTTTGTTGGGTTGGATAAAAGAGAAGAGAATAACTTCATAATTTTTACTATGTTCGTTTTGGGAGAAGGAAATAAAATATTTTAATTGTTTTTACCATTATATCAAATAATATTTATAATTAAAACTTTTATATAATTTAGGATAATATTTAATTTAAAATTTCTATAATAGTCCACTTGTTTTCTCTCCTTTCTTCCATCAATTTTTTTTCGGATGAAAATTTATAAAGGTCGAAAGATGGATCATCTTTCTTCCTTATATCATTTCTACCAAACAAAGAAAGTTCATTCTTTCCTTTCTATTTTCCCTCCACTCCTTTTCCATGCATTAAAGAAGAATGGAAAAATTAGAATTTGGTGACAAAACCTATACAAAATTGTTGTAAATTAACCTTAAAGTCGAGAAAAGATAAATAGTCACCAATTTTGAAACTTAATTGCTAAAAAGTGACAATTTGATGGATTATTACATAAATATCCTTATTATATATATATATATATATATATATATATAATTGAATAAATTTATCCCCAACATTAAAAACTTTTGTAAGATGAAGACAAAAAGGTGTGTGTGTGTGTGTGTGTGTAATTCGATCAAACATGAAAGTATGTATGTAACGACCCTAAACTGATACTTTTAAAAAAAAAAATTTATACATGACCTTTGCTAAAAAGGGGTTTACAACAACCTGCTTAAAAAAAATTCAATGGCTTTTCTTGGCCTTTCAAGACATATCCAACCTGTCCCAACACATAATACAAAAAAAAATTATACATTCCCCAATACTACCACATCAACAACCTATTCGAGTTGGCCCATCATCGTCATTCCATTCAGCTTAAGCATTTACATAGTCTCAATTTACATCCAAAAAAAGTAGTCAAGTACCTTAGTTATGTTACATGGCCATGATAAAATAAATTAATACTCTTTTCCATAATTTGAGACTTTACAAAAATTTAACCAAAACACAAAAGGTATCAAAATAGATCTTTAGTTCTCTTCATGCTTGAAAGGGATCGGCATTCACTATTTCCTTTCCCAACCCTGAAAAATGTTAAATAATGGGGTGAGCGTAAAGCTCAGTAGGTAGTGCCTAAGATGCACCTCTTGTGACCCTGTGAACCCAAATAATGAATAGGACAATAGGGAGAGGGGTCATGCTAAACCAGGGAAAATACAATGTAAATCTACAAGTTCAAAACAAATGAATGTCGTGCCATGAATGCAATGTCATGCATGTCACCCCCCGTTTTTAGAAAACTTCCATCACTTCACAAACTATTAATATAACCCGCCCTTTGGTGACTCCGCAGCGACACGAGAGAAGGATTGGCTACTGTCCTTGACCTTTGGTACCTTTGCAGCGTCATTTGGGGCCCAGATAGATCAACCACGCTAGGACAATCTACCTAGTTCCCTCTAGGCTATATTAACACACCAGCCCTTTGGTGACTTTGCGGCGACCGAGTTTTCTCAAAACCGTTTCATCAAATTCTCCCCAAAAATCTCCTTTTTCATTCTTATTAAATCATTGTACTAATTTTCAGGCCCATGCTATGAATGCATATCACATGTCTTTTTAATACTATGGAAATGGAGAGAATTATTATCACACAATTAACATACTTCCATATAAAATTTTCAATAAATTATTAAGCATCATAGGCATGGAAAAATTAACATATTAAGCATACTTTACAATAATTCTTAGAAAATTTTCATAAGATTCCATGTATCATTTTTTGCAATTTTGTCAACATAATAACATAAAGAAATTACAATAATTTTAAGAAAATTTTCTTAAGCTTCCATATATCATTTTTAGCAATTTTGTCAACACAATAACATAAAGAAATTAATAATATAGCATACTTTTTATATAAATCAATAATTACACATATAGTCATGAACTTTACACCCGCAAGAAAATCATTCTAGAAGTAATTAATTTCAATTAAGCATGTTGGCATCAAATAACAAGAATTGACTCACAAAGGAACAAGAAAATGCAAATTAGAGACCCCTACCCTGAAAAAGAATTTTCCTCATTGGATCATCATAGCCTCAAGCTCCAAGACCTCCTTTGTAAACTCTCGGACCTCTCTGCAACTCTTGGCTCCTCTATTTCTCTCTCTCAACTCACTCTGTATCCTCAATCTCGGCCCTCTCTCAATCTTCTCTAATTTTTCTCTTCTGTCTCTCTCTCTCTAATTTTTTTCTATCCTTTTTGTTCTCTTACCAAAGTCCTAAAAACAAAATATATAGGCAAGGCATTGATTTCACACAAAATCAACCAATAAACCCACGTGCATAAAGCATAACCCCACAAACTTTACTCCAAATATCAATTAGTGGGTCCCACCACATTATTACCTTATCTTTACTTTTCTCTAAGTTCAAATCTCTTTCTGACATAACTTAATAACACACTAATTTAGCCCACATGAAGGAAATAAAGGCCAAAAGCTTTTTGGCCACAAAATCACATTGGTGGGACCCGCAGATAAATCACCATATCAAAATATAAAACCAAACCCACTTTCGGAAGCCATCAAATTCCCTCAGCAAAATAAAAAAAAATGTTAAATATCTCAATACAGCAAAACAAAACTTCATAAACATCATTCCATGTGGGCCCCATCATCACCATCACCAATTTCAACTTTCTTTTTCTTTCCATTTTGGCTGGCCTTATATATATACAAATGCAAAAAGATTAAATCAACACAAGTTTAATTCTTCTAAACTGCAATATCATATTCGAATATCCAATTAGTAAGTCCCCAATCCAAATTTAAATAACATCACTAAAAATTATAAGATAAATTAAATTAAAATCCTAACATTTTGGGTCATCACAATCTCCACCACTTAAAAAGAATTTCGTCTCCGAAATTCAAATCCAACAGCCTTCGTATACCCGATAACAACAATAACCTCAAAACAAAACCTATAAATTCTTATCCCAGGTGATGTAAGATACTGTGATATGTAGGACGTTGTGGTAGCTGCCAGTGTTAGTCACCCGCCCATACACTCCGTAACCGTTATGGTAGCTAGTCGATATGTCACCCGCCCACTAAAAAAAAAACAAACAATAGCAAACCTGGGTTACCTGCCCAACCACACTAACTAACCATCCCAGTAGCTGCCAGTGAATACCATTCGCACACACACACTCGGCTACAAGTGGTAGCTGACCAGTACTACACACTCGCTCACTCACACCCGTCTACATCATCACTACACTTACACTTTCGGCTAGGTGCAGGCTAATAAAATCCTCAATTCATTCAAATACAAATATATCACTATAATCCCGTTATCATAAGAAAACTGTCCTCTTTTATACAAAATCAATTTCCTCAAATATGTACAAAATTCCCCAAATAAATAAATTAAATCTCGCAACGCCAACTCATCCACCTAAGCCCGAAACTAGCAATCCACGTTTATCTTTGGTACCTGAAACTGGAAGATGGTGAGACGGAAAGTCCTAGTAAGTAAAACCATGACAAGAATTTCGATAATCATTGATCGTACTGTGTGATACCCCTCGATTCTAAAGCCACGGGTGATCAAGTCCGAGCACAGATCCGAGAAATACCAGACAATTAATATGTAAATAAGTACAGAATACTAAAATGAAATAAGAAATAAGCTGAAAAGAATTCTAATTATAAAATCTTCAAAATTTATAAATTAATATAAATTCCAAACTTTCCAATATCTGTACAACTCGGGAATCCATATAGTGGACCCCTATCCAAATCCCACACTAAAAAGGAAACAATTGTAACAAAATCTAAAACGAAACATAGAAAGCAATCCTACGTAGTTGGAGGAGTGAGTGACTGTATCTGCTCTGCACGATCAAGCTCTGACCATGGAAGTGACGAATACCTGAAAAATAAGGGAGGACTTAGTGTTTTGAACTAATTCATCCCTAGTATGCCACTGTCCCATACCGGTGTATACACACACAACCAATCTAACAATTGATAAAATAGTACAAGCAGTTCATCAATTATAATCCAGAACAATATAATAATAATCAGAATCGTTACTAAACACATTATAATGAAATTCTTAAACTTAAATTTCATAACAATCCATAAATCCAACAATTGATGCAATCTAAACCGTTAAAACATCAATTAACTCCATATAAGCATACTACAGTTTTAGTTAATTAATTATGCTTATATCAGTGCTTAAACATGATTAATACTGTTTAATCATACATACACAAAATGTTAGCATTATAGTAAGCAATTAAATCCTCCAAACAGTCTAGAAATTGATACCGTTTTTAATAAATTAAATATCAATTTAATCCAAACCAAGCTTAGTTAATTACGGGTATTCCATCACCCTTATAACACTGTTGAAATATGATTAAATCATATGCGAAAGATTTGGTAAGTTTCAGTAAGCAAACAACTTAACAAAATAGTGCTCAACATGTAGGCTTTTCTTTATCTTCATGTTGCTTCATTCTTTAATACACTAATGGGATAATGCTTCCTAATATTTTCATAGGTTTATCACAATTAATTACATCCTTCAGTGCAATTTAAACGGATTAAAAATACTCCAGATAGCCCAAACAGACCCTAAAAAGATCAAAACTATGCGTTTCGGGCGAGAGCAGGCTCTCATAAGTTGAGAGCCTGCTCCATTAACTTGGGAGCCATCTCTAAGGAGTTGGGAGCAAGCTTCATACTCCTTGGAGCAGGCTCCATCAATGAGGGAGGGAGCTGGCTCCCTCCTTTTGGGAGCCTGCTCTCTCACTCCCTGAAGTAGTTATGTGTTTCTGCTTCGTCTTCCTTGCCTCCGACTATACTCAGGGCCTCTGTAATGTTTTACATACTTGTTCTAGTGTTCATTCAACGTCCCAAGTTAATTATAAGACGTTGACATGCATCAACGATCTCAGTTAAACAAAGCGTAAACTCAAAGACAGTAAAAACCAGTTAACAGAACTTTAAGAATTTGCAAACCAGTTTAATTCAACGAGTTTAAATATAGTTTAAACATGCATAAAATATTTGTTTTAGCATTAATTAAACCCCTGGAGTCGACCTAGGCATGCACAGAACACAGGTTTAGGGGAAAGAGATAGAACAAAGACTTGCCTTTATGTTTTCGTTCAAAACCTTAAACCGTTGTCTTTAATAATTCCGGCGACCTTACTGCTTTCACCGACCACTGTTGCTCCTTGGTCAACCCACGAGCAAACCAATTTCCCTTCCTTGGTTTAGTCTTAGTCTAAGCCAAACCTTAATCTTCCTCTCTCTATTTCTCTCTGTTTCTCTCTGTCTCTCTGTATGCGTGAACAGGGTTTACAAACCCTTGGCAGACGTATAAAGGTACATATATAGGCTTATACAAATACCAACCCTAATTCTAATTATATGGAGAGAAGGAAAGGAAAACTAACCTACTTACATAACCAAGTCGGCTACATCCATGAAGAAAATAAAACCCTAAAACTATTAAAACATTTAATTCACTAATCCACATAAGCATATAACAAGGAAAACAAATAATTAAAACAAACAATTAAACAAAACATTTAAATAAAATAAAGAATACAATTAATTCAATTCAAAATAACAACAAGTACAATTAAATAAACTCCTAAATAAAACAGTTCATTTAAATAACATAATTCACAATTAATTCAAATAAACAAGCAAATAAATAATTAAATAATTAAAACAAATGCAATTAAACAATACTTAAATTGCCAAGACTATTCTTTTACTCCTTATACACAAGGAGAATAACCAACTTGGAAACATATACGAGACCATGAACACCAATTTAAGTGACCTCGCCACTAACGGACCATCTTACACAATCAACACAGAAACATCGCACACACTTCTCCGCAACATTATGCTAACCGAAACCAATCAGACAAAAGCACCAACACCCTCAACGTACTAACACTAGGAACCATCACTGCACGTTAGATACCGCGTCTCATTCTACCCAATAATCTCCCAATGAGAAACTCTATGAAATACAACGACATATGATCACCTGTTCCACCTCTACCCTTTAAAGGCGACACTGCCTCGATCACCGTGCACATAAGGCCCGTGACCTCAATCACAACGACCCACTGACTCTTCAAAAGAAAAAGATGCCTATTCGGCAACACCGCTCTCACTGGATCTAAGGACTAAATTGTCCACAATCACCTCAATTGGCGCACAATCCCATCACCTACCTAACAACATACAACAAACAACTCATAATCTCTACGTCACATATGAGTCACTCCTTAAACCGTTTTACTTCTCAACACTAATCATCACACTATAACACATTCACTGCCACTCATTTCAAACAATGGTTCAAACCTATCATCCCATGAGACCATCAAGCCACTGCCAAGTGATTCTTCTTTCAATATCCTTAAGATAACACCATCACAACAATAAAATGAGCACCACTCCACAACGACCACTATTTACCACTTGAAAAGAACATCCATAAGGCAAGGCCATACCGACAAATCCTCAAAATAAAAATGAGCATAAATATCCAAAATGCTTAACACCCAACTGTCTCCTTAAAACCATCAACAATGCAATCAATCACCACTTTCTTCTCGAATACTGAGGTCACCCCAAAACTGACTTACTCTCCAATACAGGAACCTCAAGTACTAATACCCCTATCATCATCTTTCCCAAAATAACTACATAACTCCAATCCCTTGGAAACAACGAGCCTCTTTTAATCAACCGCTTATTCAAAGGTGATACCAACCCAACATGAAACACACATATTCCTTATGATAACCGACACCATAGTCAACAACCCATTATAAGAAAATAAAAATCCTACGCGGCAACGCTACAGGAACAATCTCTAAGAGGGGTAACAAACACCACGCCAAATTGTCAACCACACAAACTACACTCTGCGACAACTACAAAACAGTGGTCTTTCATTGGTATCTAACTGGACACTCAAGTCATACCTACAACTGACTTATCCGACCAAACAAAATAGTATACAACTTCTACGCCCCTAACACTATCATTTTCCAACCAATCGCTACAACTACCATACAACTCAACAGAATGTCCACATCGATTTCATTTAAGTTGTGTGCCTGCAGCTAGCCCATTATGGTAGCCTTCTGGTGCCACCTGCACACGCTCATGCACACCAGCCCATAGGGCCACAGAAC